ATTTCAGACTTGTTAGTCATTTACCTCCCTCAAGATGGAAAAATGGATGCTGAAAGAAAAATAACCAGTTTAAAAATAACTAGCAATGTCTCTTATTTAGTACAGCTTATCATCAACAAAAGCATGGAGTTACAGCACGATTCAGCCTTCATCAGGAACTCAAGAAAGTAACATGGAGCCTTTTCTGAGGGACGTTCTGGGTAAGGAGACATGTCCCTTGCTAATGGCAAACAACATCCAGGGTGTTCTTTGAATTAGTCTCATCCCTACAGAACTTTCTGCTTCATGGACAGGCTAGAAAAACTCAGGACAGGTTTTCTGTTCTATTTAAGTCTGTGGGCTGTAGCTTATATCAGCTCAAGATCTGCTTCACTATTTTGCTATCTAAAATGTAGACTTTAGATTTAAACTCCAATACTCTGGACATTGACTCATTCTTATTCATATGCAGTAAAGCAACTGTCTCCGACACAATCAGATCCACAGAAAACTCCATCCAAATCCTTCCAAAGTTCAAGGCAGATTTCAGCTGCAGCATTCAGTCTGTTCCTATCTCTGGTACCTAATGGGTTGCCTACAAACCACTACAAAACAATAAAAAACTGCTAGTGTTAGCATTGAGGAAACAGCCTATTTTTTCCTCTAAAAATTTATGGTCCTTAGCCATGCAAATGCTGACTCTGAGCCATAGAGGGATACAAATAACACCAGCTGAACTGAGCCAAAGCTGAGTCCAAGGACAACATCCTTCTACAATAATTATGCTCGTGGCCAAAACTTTCAGGACGATAATGGTTTTGATAGATTTCCATTTTAATTTGTGGTACCATTGTGTTTAAAAGATTCTTATAATCCTGGTGAAGCAACCAACCTTCCGCTGTTGACCCACATGGGTTGCATAACTGTGTTTTATGCACACAGTGTGTGTCCGAATACGACTGATGAAAGAGCTAAGCAAATAAATGCCCTTTTCCTTTGGAGGCAATATTACATTACTCTGTTGGCCCTCATAAATTTTATCTTATTAATATTTGAGCTGTGAGGTAGCATTTCTCTGTCTTAAAGAAAGAATCACTTCTAATTATTGCAGCTCTGTGACACATCCACTGCACAACTAGAAACATTTTGAGACATGTCCAGTTGCTACAAATGCAGGCCTTGCCTGTGAAATGTTTAGCTGAAAGGTTTTCTGGTAGGCATCAAGTAACCTTCTCATGTCCTGAATTCAGCTTTTGATGATTCTGGGTTTAAAAACAAATTCCATTTTTCCTATGTATCAAACTATGGAGAGAGTGAAGATTCAAGGCTTGGAGGCAACCTGCCATGAAGTTGGTCTGGGTTCAGATTCAGTTTCAGACTCTAGAGGTATTTAGATATAGAGAGGAACAGTCTGGTTTCAGTTGTACCTGAAATTATGCATCTGCAATAGGCCAGGCATATGGAATATGAAAGAATCAGCAAAGAATGTGGGTGAAAGAAAGGTAGGGCATGAGGATGAGCAAGAGAAGATGTATTTTCCCCATCTACTTAAGGTGTGAATAGCGTGGTTCTGCAAAATTGTATTAATTAAATAGTTAGCTCTGTTCTGCAAATTTCATGGCAACAGCAACAATGTAACCACGGGAATATCAGGCACCACTAAAGCACAAAGTAACATTTGCTGCTTTGGTTTTGGCTCGTTAAACCACTGACAAGAACTTTTAACTTCTTACCTTTCCTGAAAAGAGACAAATGCTATAGGAGAAAACAGCAATATGACATCAAATTTCCCCTTGGCTTTTTCACCATCTCAATCATAATCATATCCTTCATAATGGAGTTAGTTAACTGAGTCTGTAAACAATATCTTACAAGCCTAAAATTTGAAGACAAACAGATCGACAACTGATTTGCAGGGCAAAAGAGCACAGGCAGGAGAACTGATTCTCATCATACCTTCTCTGGAATTACTTTGGCTTATAAATTCATTGAATCTGGTTTAACTTTTCACCTGACTGCCTTTAAAGTGAGTGTAAAACCCTGGTTTGCCAAGTTCTGCAAATACCCTGAGAGCAAAAGGGTCTTGTCACACAATAACATGCAAAGCTCCAGTCCTCCTGTAGGTCTCCATCCTGCATGGAGGCAAATTCCTGCCTGTCTTCATCACCCACTTCTTGTGCTGTAAGCAATAATTTCATGTCTTTCAGGAAAGAGACTCGAGAACATAATTTCCTTGCTCTCTTTAATTATATATTCTCATATAAAAGTTAAGGTTTACCCAGTTCTGCATCTTTTTACATGTTCTTTGTGTTTCAAAGCAATGGTGAAAACCCTCTCAAGACCTGAGAACTAAAGGGTGGACAGAGCAGCTGAATGACAAGGAAGAAACAGAGGTGATGGGTCTTTAGAGGCTAAGGGATGCAGGAGCCATTGGAGAAAGAAGAAAGATGTGAAATCTGGAAGAATTAAGAGTCACTTGGTGGTCCAAAAAAATTAATTGTGTAGGTCAAATGAGGCCTTCAACAGCCTCAAACAGTCAAAATATCTTTCCAATACTTTCAAAGGAGTTGGAAACATTAATTATTAGAGACACATTGGGAATAGACAGAAGAAATTCCAGAAAAAAAAAGATAAACTAAAGAAAAAAGTATGGCATGATTTCAGTTCAAAGCTTCTGGATCTGGAAGCCAGGCTCATGATTTGGGTGGAGACTGACTCATGGATTTTGATCTCATGTGACTGGCACAACTGAAAACGCTACCACAAATCACAAGGCAAACTGGTGACAAAGAAGAGAACAGAATCAAAATCACCCCAGCAACACAATTTATCCATTAAATTCAGCTCTTTTCCTGCAGAAATTATAGGCAAGGCTCGGCTGGTTTTGTGAATCCTTTCTCATTGCTTCTAACAGCAGTCAGTAATTCAATGTTCAGCACTCAGAAAAAGCACAATCTTAGTAGGTAATAACTTCAAAGACTTATCAGAGTGTTTCAAGATCCCTTGAAATACTTAACTACCAGGAGGAAATGAGAAAGAAGGTAGAACTTCCCAAACTTAGTCACTCTTAGCTTCAAAGAAAAACAGTTTTCTTAAAGCACCCTGGTAGTGCCTAAACAGCAACCTATTATGTATCTGCCCAAGGATAAGGGCTCAGAAAGGCAGGAATTAAATAATACCTTCATCAAGATTGAGAAGTCAAACAGTGGATGGAAAGAAAAGAACAAATAATTGACAAGCTTGAGAACACCATTTATCCCTGCTGTTGTTCACAAATGAGCACAAAAGCTTTCTCATGGAGCTTCCCTGAAGAACAGCAAAAGTGACCAACCACTTACAAAATGGAGCAAGCTGATGATATATGCACTCTCCCTGCTAGTAATGTTGGAACATTTCTGATATAGTGATTGCAACTAGGGACAGTTCTGACAATTCTGATTGCAGCTAGGGATAGACTTCAGGCTTTGTGGGCAGTAGGATAAAGGAAACAGAGTCGCTAAAGTGCATTATAAGCCCCAAAGCTGTGAAAGGGTTTCAGAGCCTCCTTCTCCATATATAGAAGGTCCTTACCTGAAAAGCCATATTCCCAGAGTGACTGTGGAAGAGTAAAACAGATTTGAAGTTTTCCTGGATGAAACTCCGTGGCTAAAGCTCATCTCACTGAAGTTTAACTGAGATGCCTAAGGGAAAATCTCCTGTGTGGGCAAGGCCAAGACGCACATACAAAAGACGAATCTGGCCACTTTTCACTTTGACTGAATCCAATGAGTATCTGAATTTAAGTGGGATGAATGGGGAGCTCAGCAATAGGAAAGCCTGGAGTTCATGGAGGCATAATTTCTAGAGAACTATTCTGTTCCATCTTGGAAACATCATTTTCTGCTCCTATTGCTTCCCACAAACTTACTTTCATTAGTATACCTACTAAAAATTATGCTTTTCTATTTAATCTCCAGCTGTTTAGGTCTTTCACACCAACTTATGCAAGGTCCTGCCCCGGAACTCAGCATGATGACATCAGGAAAAGCCCATAGTCATACCAGCTACTTGCCTCTATCTGAGTAATGGCAAGAATGAACAAGATGTTCTCCTTTAATATTTATAAGGTGCTCCTCCTTAAATAGTTCAGCTATTTTTAATTAATTAATTCAACCTTAAAGACATTTGTGTGCACAAGTGGGAGATGTACAGACACATTATCAATTTACAAAATTAAAGAGGTTTCAGGAGGGAGAAAAAATAGCCTTGGTGATTTTATGAGCTTGTGTCAAGTCGTGGCAGTATTGAGATCCTCCAACCACAGCACAGCACAGCTGAATGATGTGAACAGGGAGCTCGTCTTGAGTTCAAGCTAATACTTTGCTATAAATGAAATACCTGGAGTAAACTTCCTCACTTGATCCAAAAATATTCCAGCTGGTACATGCACAGGGACTGCAGTGCACACGGACAACTGCATATTATTTTAACTATCTTTAAGGGAGGAACAAAAGGCAAGTTTCAGTTTCAGTTATTCCCAAAATAAAGAAATACACCGTCATTAATAATGACTAAGCATCTAACTTAAAAATGGCAGCTCTGGAAATAGTCACGTGTAGGAATGCACTGAGTTTTCTTCCAGGAAAATATATTTGGCTTTATCTAGTCTCCTTTTATTTTTCACTGCACTGAGGCCACTCCAGTGGTCTGTTAGATTCTAGGGCAAAGCAGGGAGATATTTTTTAATGACACTAAAGCATATTTATTTTTCAAAAGGATTTTAACAGGTTAACAAAAGCAGGCAGGCTAATTCACCTCAATGTTTCCCAATAAGGATTAAGGAAGGATTTGATTTCATCCCTACAATCAAAATCAAGGCTCACATTACACATGGTTACACCCTGTCTGTTTTAAAATTGGGAAAGCTCCTGCCTTTTGACACTTACTCTCCTTACGTTCAGAACCCAAAGGGGAAGTGAAAATCATACTTGAAACACAGAACAGGCC